ATAGTAGTCAAAACGTCCCCTGGTTTTGGTCAAAGCGCCCCTGTATATTTTTACAGAAAAAAAAATTTGAGTCGATCCCCAAGCAATGGTCTAAACGTCCCCTGATTTTGGTCAAAGCACCCCCTTATAGAAATTTTTCAAGTAACTGCCACACAATGATAATATTATAAATACAAAACAGTTTTATTCCGTAATATGTTTGTAAAAATATATTAGGGGGCGCCTTGACCAAAATCAGGGGACGCTTTGACCAATATTTGGGGGCGGTTTTGTAACATCATTTTTCTGTAAAATTCTATAAGGGGCGCTTTGACCAAAATCAGGGGACATTTTGACCAAAATCAGTGGATGCTTTGGCCAATATTTGGGGGCGGTTTTGTAACATCATTTTACATTTTACATTTTATAAGGGGCGCTTTGACCAAAAACGGGACATTTTGACCAAAATCAGGGGACATTTTGACCAAAATCAGGGGACACTTTGACCAAAATTAGGGGACGCTTTGACCGGGACGGTTTTATTAGGGGGCGCTTTGACAGGATTTCGAAGTAATCATTTTTTGGCCAAATTTTTGTTATATCCATCATTAGTGTAACTTTTTCAAGAAATTTGGAGCTCACCATTTTGCGCCGTTCCTGCGTTTGGCCACAAAATGCAACTAATGCAGAAAGTAGGTAAAAAGAGCTACTTTGGGTAGGTTTAAATACAGTGACGCCTCATTTATTCGGACGCTTTGGTTCCCAGGCAAATTGTCCGGATAAGTGAAGCGTCCGGATATCTGAATTCTCTTCCAGGTATACTGTATTGGCATTGTAACTCTTACATATAAAGAATGATAAATGCTATCATATAGAAATAATAATTTAATTTTTTAAACACTATATCTTAAGTATACATCAGCATTACTTTTACATTTTTTTTCAAATATAATAAATATTTTTCTAGCTATAAACGAAATGCCGCCTCGCGCTCTCTTTGCCGGTGGTGTAGACATGGTTGTAGCTGGTCAGCAGAATGACAAACATTGGATATAACGCTGCTTATATGGGCAGATTTTTCATTACCCAGCTTAGTTTTTACTTTCTACTTCCTATAAATTGATGAACATAGCCAAGCAAATTTTCTCATTTACACCCAAGCGAGCTGTCAATATCGAGTCTAATTTTAATTTGAACACTCATCCACGCTAAATCTGACATAATAAAAATTCACGCAGTAATTCATTGATTGTCTAAAATTATTTAAATTTGATTGAACGTTTTATGTTTTTTTTTTTTTTTTGATGATTACTGCCACCAATCTACAGATGAAAATTAGATACCGATTTGTGTGTGCACATGTGTAGACTACGAGATTATGAAACTATGTCGTCCCGTCTATAAACAGAAAAATATAAATATCTCGCAGATGACAAATAATTGAATAGAAAATTGTTTTCTGTTACCAACACAGTTAATTGTTTATTTTCATTTGTGTATCGTTCTCTCGTATATTATGACCATACCCACTTAGCATGCTTAATCTGTGCACTAATCATCGTAAGTCATTCATAACAGGTCATAGGTGATTGTCTTGTAAAAACAATCAATCCGGCCAGTGTTTTTATAACAATTATCACTCAGTTCAGGCGTGAATATTGACAAGAATGGAAGTACAAATCAAAATTTACCGTCCGGATAAATGAACCAATTTATAACGTAAAAATACATTTTGTAGTAAAAAAGAGCCGTCCGGATACGGAACGCGGAATTCCGGATAAATGAGTCAAAATTACGTTGAAAAAATCCGTTCCCGAGAAAAATCGTCCGGAAGGTGAAGCGTCCGGATATCTGGCGTCCGGATATCTGAAGGTCCACTGTACCTACGTAGCTATTAATAGCTACATAGGTAGAAATAGTATTTGGACTGGACCTGTTAAACGTAGGTTCTGTAAATCTTAGAATAAGCTATCGATCTGTAAGACAGATCATCACCAAAGTTAATATACATGTACGTCCAATGAATGTTATGAAGTAAATCAATGCCTGTGGCTGTGAAATAAATAAATTTAAATGATCATGATATGAAGACATTCCCTCTGCTGTTCCCCCGCTTCTTCAGCACTTTTAACCTATCCATATTACAGAACCTTTAACTTTTTACTACACTGGCTACATGGTAAAATCCAATTTTACATATTTCCCAAATCACAACATTATCCTTAAGAATTCTGTTGACCTTTTCTTTACAGTCTCATTTTATTGTCAGTCAATTTATTTAATTTAAAGAAATTTCTATTTACAGTGCTGAAGACAGAACCATACCATGTATTTACCATCAAAATTTCCTCACAAGAGTCTGATCAATCAACAGAGGACACAGAGCCTGGTACAAACAGTTATCGTATTCATATTATATTTGTGACTTAAATTATCACTATTATCAGAACAGGTCTTTAACCAGTCCAAACAATAATAAAGTTTTTTAGGTTGAGGTTGTTTGACTTGTGATTGAAATTTACTTGATAATATTATCTATAAACAGCAAGGCAAAATTAAAAAAAATATTTTAGATCATACTCTAACATATTTGTCCTGATTTAAATTAGATATATAATCAAGATACATATTTCTGTATGATTATAAATTTGTCATTGATTTCTTTACATGAAGTTACTGCAGTTTATAAAATGTTTCAAGCTAAGAATCAAACATGTATTAGAGCAACTTTTCTCCTAGACTATTTTGAGTCTAATCCTATAAAACTAATTTTTCATCAGAGGCTTCTGATTTTTTTAAATGATTAAACAAAAATGTGTCTTTTATAGCTTTCTGTGAAATACAGTTTTCTTATGTGGAAAAGTATCCTGAGGAACCCCTGGTGTTTGAAATTACAGACAGTGAAAACCTTGAGGATGACATGTTAGAGGAAATAACCAGTCTTATCAATGAACAGGTATATCAGCAGGATATTCTCATCAATGAACAAGTATATCAGCAGGATAGTCTTGTCAATGAACAAGTATATCAGCAGGATAGTCTTATCAATGGACAGGTACATGTATATCAGCTGGGAAGTTTTATCAATGAACAGGTGTATCAGCTGGGAAGTTTTATCAATGAACAGGTATATCAGCAGGGTAGTCTAATAAATGAACAGGTATATCTGCAGGATAGTCTTATCAATGAACAGGTGTATCAGCAGGGTAGTCTTATCAATGAACAGGTATATCAGCAGGGTAGTCTAATAAATGAACAGGTATATCTGCAGGATAGTCTTATCAATGAACAGGTGTATCAGCAGGGTAATCTTATCAATGAACAGGTTTTTCAACAGGGTAGTCTAATAAATGAACAGGTATATCAGCAAGGTAATTTTATCAATGAATAGGTATATCAGCTGAATAGTTTACTCAATGAACAGGTATATCATCAGGGTAGTCCTGTCAATGAACAGGCATATGAACAGGATAGTCTTATCAATGATTCAAGATTCAGGTACATGTATAACTTTTCAATTCGATAGTTTTTATACGCCCGTCTTAAGACGGGACGTATTATGTTATAGGCTTCATGTCCGTCCGTCCGTCTGTCCATTCCTGTCCGGCTCACAACTTGAATACTATTAGGCCTAGGATTATCAAACTTTGTCAACTTATACTTCTTGAATAGACGGTGTGTCGCGCACAAAAAGTAGGTCGCTCTGACCTTTAATAAAGATGCTATAGCCAAATATGGAAAAATCCTGTCCGGCTCATAACTAGAAAATTATTAGACCTAGAGCTTTCAAACTTGGCAAACGTATACATCTAAAGTAGAAGGTGTGTCGCGGCCTATTTCAAGGTCACTGTGACCTTTAATTAAAGTGATTTTTTTTTAAAAACTAAGTCTTTTAAATTCTAAATTTCATAATCCTAAAAAATGTAAAAATATAGTTGTATCCTTATTAAAAAACGTTAAATTAAGTAAAAACTTATTTTTTCATTATATACTTTACAGCAATCTGTAACAAATGTTTATGCTTTGAGAGGAATTCAGTTTGTCCCATGGGCATAATTATCAAGCACTGGTCAAGAAGAATTTTGATAGCAGAAATTTGCATGTCAAATTAGAGAGAAATTAATGAGTTTATTGTCAGGGGCTAAGAGCATCTCTAGATTTGATGCAGATGTTATCTTAATTTATCTCTTGGGAGTTGGGCAAAAAGAAATGGCCTCATAGTTGCTTGTGCTAATTAAGAGTTCTTGATGGCTAGTCCAGATAAAGATCTTTCAATTGATGTAATGTAATTAAAACAAATTGACGTTTTAGAGTATGATTAAAACTACCGGTAAATTAGTATTGTATAATATGATTAAAACTAATTATATATGTGTTCATTGAAAAAAAGAATTATATTTCAATTTTTATATATTTGCAACAAAGATGCTATAGCAAAATATGGAAAAATCCTGTCTGGCTCATAACTAGAAAACTATGAGACCTAGAGCTTTCAAACTTGGCAAAAGTATACATCTAAAGTAGAAGGTGTGTCACGGCCTATTTCAAGGTCACTGTGACCTTTAATTAAAGTGAATTTTTTAAAAAAACTATGTCTTTTAAATTCTAAATTTCATAATCCTAAAAAATGTAAAAATATAGTTGTATCCTTATTAAAAAACATTAAATTAAGTAAAAACTTATTTTTAGCTCACCTGAGCCGAAGGCTCAAGTGAGCTTTTCTGATCACATTTTGTCCGTCGTCCGTCCGTCTGTCCGTCTGTCTGTCTGTCCGTCTGTAAACTTTTCACATTTTCGACTTCTTCTCAAGAACCACTGGGCCAATTTTGATCAAACTTGGTACAAAGCATCCTTAGGTGAAGGGGAATTTAAATTGTTAAAATGAAGGGACATATCCCCTCGCAAGGGGAGATAATCATGAAAAGACAAAAATAGGGTTGGGTCATTAAAAAATCTCGAGAACCCTTGGGCCAGAAAAGCTGAAACTTATGTGAGAGCATCCTGGGGGTAGTGTAGATTCTAAATTGTTCAAATCATGACCCCCGGGGGTAGGGCGGGGCCACAATAGGGAATCAAAGTTTTATATAGAAATATATAGAAAAAATCTTTGAAAATCTTCTTCTCAAGAACCACTGGGCCAGAAAAGCTGAAACTTATGTGGAAGCATCCTGGTATAGTGTAGATTCTAAATTGTTCAAATAATGACCCCTGGGGGAAGGGCGGGGCCACAATGGGGAATCAAAGTTTTATATAGAAATATATAGGAAAAATCTTTGAAAATCTTCTTCTCAAGAACCACTGGGCCAGGGGGAAAAGCTGAAATATATAGGAAAAATCTTATGTGGAAGCATCCTGGTTTAATGTAGATTCTAAATTGTTCAAATAATGACCCCCGGGGGGAAGGGCGGGGCCACAATGGGGAATCAAAGTTTTATATAGAAATATATAGGAAAAATCTTTGAAAATCTTCTTCTCAAGAACCAGTGGGCCAGAAAAACTGAAACTTATGTGGAAGCATCCTGGTATAATGTAGATTCTAAATTGTTCAAATCATGACCCCCGGGGAAGGGCGGGGCCACAATGGGGAATCAAAGTTTTATATAGAAATATATAGGAAAAATCTTTGAAAATCTTCTTCTCAAGAACCACTGGGCCAGAAAAGCTGAAACTTATGTGGAAGCATCCTGGTATAATGTAGATTCTAAATTGTTCAAATCATGACCCCCGGGGGAAGGGCGGGGCCACAATGGGGAATCAAAGTTTTATATAGAAATATATAGAAAAAATCTTTGAAAATCTTCTTCTCAAGAACCAGTGGGCCAGAAAAACTGAAACTTATGTGGAAGCATCCTGGTATAATGTAGATTCTAAATTGTTCAAATCATGACCCCCGGGGGAAGGGCGGGGCCACAATGGGGAATCAAAGTTTTATATAGAAATATATAGGAAAAATCTTTGAAAATCTTCTTCTCAAGAACCACTGGGCCAGAAAAGCTGAAACTGATGTGGAAGCATCCTGGTATAATGTAGATTCTAAATTGTTCAAATCATGACCCCCGGGGGAAGGGCGGGGCCACAATGGGGAATCAAAGTTTTATATAGAAATATATAGAAAAAATCTTTGAAAATCTTCTTCTCAAGAACCACTGGGCCAGAAAAGCTGAAACTTATGTGGAAGCATCTGGTATAATGTAGATTCTAAATTGTTCAAATAATGACCCCGGGGGAAGGGCGGGGCCATAATGGGGAATCAAAGTTTTATATAGAAATATATAGAAAAAATCTTTGAAAATCTTCTTCTCAGGAACCACTGGGCCAAAAAAGCTGAAACATATGTGCCCATGGAAGGATCATGGGGTAGTGTAAATTTCAAAATGTCTAAATTATGATCAGTTGGGTAGGGTGGGGATGCATTATGTATAACAAGGGGGAAATCTGGTAAAGAACAGAATGGTCAAAGCTTCTCAGGTGAGCGATGTGGCCCATGGGCCTCTTGTTTCATTATATACTTTACAGCAATCTGTAACAAATGTTTATGCTTTGAGAGGAATTCAGTTTGTCCCATGGGCATAATTATCAAGCACTGGTCAAGAAGAATTTTGATAGCAGAAATTTGCATGTCAAATTAGAGAGAAATTAATGAGTTTATTGTCAGGAGCTAAGAGCATCTCTAGATCTGATGCAGCTGTTATCTTAATTTATCTCTTGGGAGTTGGGCAAAAAGATGCTTGTGCTAATTAAGAGTTCATGATGGCTAGTCCAGATAAAGATCTTTCAATTGATGTTCTAGTGTATGATTAAAACTAAATTAGTATTGTATAATATGATTAAAACTAATTATACATGTGTTCATTGAAAAAAAAAAAAATTATATTTCTATTTTTATATATTTGCGACAAATTGCAGTCATGTCTCACTAGTATTATTTGTTATAATCAATCCCTACACTGTAAGTCTCATAGAGATGTATAATAAGAAATGGAAATTAGATAATTGAAATCTGTGTCAATCTGTTAATCAAGGCTACCTGATTTTCTTGCATCCTAACCAATGTATGATTATTGAACAATATTTGACGGGCGTATCATGCTGTGGTGGGGCACTTTATTAGTAAATTGTTTTGTATATTGTTTTATTTTTGGGTTTTTTAATCTAGTATACTACATATATTAGGATAATTTAATGAACGAACAGGTAAAGTATTTTTAGAAATCATTAATTATTTTCATTATGTAAACTATTTTAGATAGAGGAGAATCTGGGAATGGTAACAGTGTTTACAATTGTATCAGCAGTGCAGGAAAAGCTGACCACATATGTAGAGGATTCCAAGAGGAGAAAAGAGGAGGAAGCCGAGAGGAAACAGAGGGAAATAGAGGAGGCAGAACAGGTATATAGTGTTACTATTTATAGCTGAAGAAATGGGTCAAATTTAAAGTGTTACTATTTATAACTAAGGAGTTGAATCAGGTATTGTGTGTTTTCATTTATAGCTAAAGAAATGGCTGTATTCCACAGATTGTTCTGATTGTAATATTTGACGTTAAATAATTGAAATACTAAAATGTTTCAGAAACGATTTGAAGGAACAAAAGTCACAGTGGAAACATTTTTAGCCTGGAAGGCAAAATTTGATGCAGAAATGGCTGAACTGAAGAAAGAAAAAATTCAAAAAGAGAAAACAAAAGGCTTAACAGGTATTTATCGTGGCATATTTTTGCACCCTACATGCAAGATAAATTATGTAAACATGCAACATAATTATGTAGACAAGCAACATATTTACATCAACATGCAGGTTAATTATGTTGACAAGTTACCAATCTTATAAGAAATTTTAATTTAAATATTGGTAAATTTATTCACTAGCGCCTGTATCTGACATCGTAGATGCAAGATACAACCTAATTATGTAGGCATGACTTATTTTGTTACATGAAAATTATTTATGTCAACATGCGACCTATTAACTTCAACATGCAACTGAATTATATAGACATGCAA